TTTCTTTGGAGTCTTTGGAAACTGAATAGTCAGTTTCACTCTCCAGATGGGTTCTGTTTCATCACAAGTGATGGATCCCAGAAACAATGGCTCTTGGTTGTCTGTAATATGGATCTGCTTTGGTGCGGCTAAACAGCTGCAAAATGTCCATATTTCATACATGTATTAAACCAGTGGTTCTCAAACTTTTGTACTGGTGACCCCTTTCACATAGAAAGCCTCTGCATGTGACCCCCCCCCCTCAATAAATTAAAAACACTTTTTTATATATTTAACACCATTATCAATGCTGGAGGCAAAGCGGAACTTGGGGTGGAGGCTGACAGTTCGTGACCCCCCCCAGGTATAACCTCGTGACCTCCTGAGGGGTCCAGACCCCCAGTTTGAGAACCCCTGTATTACACCATGTGCCTCTGGCTGGACATATATAAACTCTTTGGATATGACTTTTACCGCACCTTATGCACGTAGGCTGGAATTTGTCCCTCTTAGACTATGGTGCAGCTGTGCTGCTGTAGAGCTTAAGTCAATGGGAGAGAGCTCTTCTATTGACTTAATTACTTCAGCCCCCACGAGCGGTGATAGCTTCTCCCACTGACATAGCTATCTCACTGACATAGCACTGTCCACATCAGTGCTTAGGTTGGTGTAACATACGTCGCTCGGGGGGGGAGGGGGTGGCTTATTCACACCCCTGAGTGACATAATTTATACTGATGTAAGCTGTAGTGTGTACATAGCCTTAGCCTGGGAGTTTTCTCTCCTCGCCTCAGGGGTTTTATGATACTAACTTTTAATGCCCAAGTGTCTGTTTACAGTTGCTAAGCTAGTTTCAGGTTTTTCAGGTATGTCAAGTTGCTCTAGGTTTTGCTGTTTCACCAGTTCAGACTGTTTTGCAATTTGAATAGCTGTGTGTAGGGTTAGATCTATTTTAATTGGAACTGCTGTAAAGGTTTTTGCCTGTTAACCCAATAGCGAGCCTGCCTCTAATATTTTCATGTTTCGCGTTCCCAAAATCACAATTTTCAGCTACTGTATGCAGAGCTCTTATAAACGATTCAACATTTTCCTCTGGTTCTTGAATTCTCTGATGGAAACATGCTCTTTCTTAAACCAAATTTGAAAAGGATTTAAAGATATGCTCCGCTTGCTTTCGTATAGCATAAAATATAGATGATACCTGTACATCTCCAGTTTCTTTGTGCATCTTGGTAGCAATGCAAAATCTTGTTTCCAGTCTGTCCATTCTTAATGTTTGTCAAAGTTGAAGTTCTCCGGGGGCATTGAAGAGTGGCATGCTGATGAGATCCTACAACCTTCGTTGCTTTGTCCCTTCTGTTTGCAACCTTTGTTGCTGTTTTCCTTCTGTTTCTGTTCTCTGTTTACTTCTGACACCATGTCATGTTTTTCTGTACCAGATATGGACTGGTCACAGGGCTTGTTTATACACACCGGATGTGTTCATCATGAGATCCTTTAATGGTCTGGCAGGTATGCCTAAGGTTTGCTTTAAATCAGGTGTTTATGCACAGTGCCCCCTAGTGGCAGAACAGTACAATACAGTTTAGCATTCCATTCCATTATCCTATTTTTTAAAACCTTCCTTAAAACTCCCTTTGCTGTGAGTCCTACAGAAAACTTGGCAATGGTTAGGCTGCTGGTGTGCTGAGACCACAGCCTATCATGCTGACTGATATTGTCTCATTGTTTCCTTGTACTCCCATCTGTCTGTCTGTATCCACCTGTTATACTCCCCTGTATGTCTCCATCTTGTAGTCTCTTGAATTAGATAAGTTCACAGAGGATAGGTCCATCAATGGTCATTAGCCAAAATGATCAAGGATGCAACCCCATGCTCTGGGTGTCCTAAGCCTCCAACTGCCAGAAGGTGGGAGTGGATGACAGGGGATGGATCACTCTGTAATTGCCCTGTTCTGTTCATTCACTCTGAAGTGGCATTGGCCACTGTCAGAAGACAGGATACTGGTCAAATGGATCATTGGTCTGACTCAGTATGGCTGTTCTTATGTTCTTGTTTTATATTGAGGTTGTCAGCTCTCTGAAGCAGGAACTGTCTCTTAGTTCTGTGTTTTTACAGCGCCTAGCACAGGTCCTGCTGAGGTCCTGGTCCATGATTGGGCCTCCTTGGTGCTACAATACTACTACTAGTAGTAGTAATAATCATAATTAATAGGCAGAGATGCCTTAGCCTTGATTCAGCAGGACTGTGGTGTAACTGGGTGCACAGCTACATCTTTAGCTTCTGGGAGTGGCGACGATGTGTGGGTGATTTGCAGTGAAGGATTTGTGTGATGGGGACACCTGTCCTGCGGGGAACTGGGTTGAGGCCCAACAACTCGTTGTGGTGCTGTAATGTATTTCACACCCGTTGCCATGGATCGGTGACTCAGCTCAGGCTGCTGTTGAGTGGTGACATATTTCACACCACCCTGACTCTGTGTGGTGACATATTTCACATGGGGCACAGAGAAGAGGTGACATTCAAACTCCTGGTCTCGTTTTCCCCAGCTTTCCCCATATTTTGCACTGTAGGGCTATGAGCCAATGACTTATTTCATGTCATGTGGGCAACACGTGCTGATATATTTCATACTGTGGTGCCATAGGTCAGTGACTTATTTTACACACCCCGATGCTGTGTGGTGACATATTTCATGCTGTGGTGCCATGGGCCAGTGGTTTATTTTACACCATGTTGATGCTGCAAGGCACATACATAGTCTGTGTTGCTTGCAGGTCTGTGTGTCGGTGACTTATTTCATCCCAGGTGGGCACCATGCCAGCAGGATGTTATGACATATTTCGCTCCACATTATGCCCAACTGCTCCCCCTCCGCCCTAAAACTCCATTGTGTAGAGATGGGGAGGGAGACTAAAATGTGTGTTCGTGTGTGAGAGAGAGAAAATTGGCCTCTGATCACATGACCCAGATAACATGGCGCTACCCTGGGAGGGCTCAGGCACCAGTGGTGAGCCAAACTTCCGGTATGGAGCGGAAGTAGCTGGTGGGGGCGTGTTGTGAGGAGGAGGCGAGACGCCGGTTCCGGGGCTTCCCCGGTGAGTGAGGGAGAGGCGGCCCCTCCCTCCCCCCTGCTCAGGTGGGGGAGGAGGAGAGGGAGAGTGCCCCCCGGGGCAGGAGAGGAGAACGGGGCTGTGGTGCTGGCAGGAGGCTGGGGAGCAGCGAGGTGGCAGTCAGCAGATGCATTTTGGGGGAGTGGTGTCGATCTAGCAGAGGGCAAAGGGGGAATGAGAGGAGAGGGCTCGCGAAGGCTGGGGCCTGGCTCTGAGCCTGTAGCCCCACGTTGCGGTTCACTTGACACCGGAGGGGAGGGGTTGTGAGGCGACAAATCTCCCACCCTTTGCAAAGGTCCCCAGGCCGTGCTAACAGCTCCGCAGTGCTATCCATTTGCAGAGTAGTGACTGGGTGAACCCCGGGGAATCAGCTGGGCAGTTTACGAACCTTTGGAGCCAGGGAAAACTTCCCCCACCCCCGGCCAAAGCTCTTAAGGCTCAATCTTGTTTTTCTGTCGTCCCCACCCTTTTACCATATGGGCTGGAACCTTTCTCAACCAATCGCGTTGCTTCTCTTTGCCCTGCCTCTATTTTTAAAAAAACGATAATACTAGGCACATATCAACACTTAAAGGGCTTTACTAACACGAATCCTTCATTATACACAACCCAGGCCCTAGTTTTCAGGAGTGAGTGCTGTTGTGAAGGAAGCTGAGAGAGGCTAGTTATTTTTTTAGAGTCACGGGTTAACTCCAGACCTGTGGTTACTTGAAAGATCATATGTTCGGCTATAGGCATCTGTTAAGTGGGGGCTGCCATATTTGGGACACATGATAACGTGGATACTGAAGTTGTCTCTGTGTCCCACCACCAGGAGGCAGCTTTCCTCGCTTTGCTCCTTGGCCCTTGAACTGAGACTCCTAATAAAAGTGGTGGTGTTTTTGTGGCTGCCTGTCCAGTGGGAGTGGGGCTGAGAATTACATTGTATCTTGTGGGGCCACTGAATGACTGTCAGATGGAAAACAGTTTGACACTGGCCACTGCCAGAGACGGGATACTGGACTAGATGGAGCTTGGATCTGGTCCAGTCTAGCAGTAACTGTATTCCTATATTCAGCCATTCCTGACCTAGGTCATATTTGAAATCAGTGTGCTAAAGGTGGAATAATCTGAGACAGTTTGTCTCTCTCCTCCTGCCTCCACTCCTCGCTCCTAGAGACAGACTGGAGGTTGTAAGCTAAAGGTGAAAGGCTTCATACCCCATTCCTGCTCTTCAGAGCCATCCTTGCTCCACCACTCTATTGTGTTTCTTATGTTGGAAACCATCCCTGTTGTATACCAGCATCTGCAACCAGACAGTGGTATCTCCCTTGCTTCTAGCAATGCAGTCTGATCTGCCCTCTTCCTGGAGTAGAGAGGCTAAACAACCCCTCATCCTTGCTTGTTTGTGCTGTTTCTCACTGTAAGAATTGCATCCTCAAGCACGTCCTGAGCCTAGTCTGCTACTGGCCAATGAGCAAGGCGATGTGCTGTGACCCGTCCACCCACAGGGCATGTTATGCCTTGGTAACTTTTCCTAACACCTGAAGCCACTTGCCTTGCCAAACTCTTCAGCAACTGTGTCTAGGCTGGAGGCAGTGAGCTGGGCGGAGTAGGGAGGCTAGTCCCAGCAGCTGAGCCAGGTCTCCTTGGGGCAGGGCATCTGCCTGGCACAAAACGTGGCCCCAAACTCTGTCCTAGTCTTGGAGCGGGACGGACTCTCTCTTGCTGCTTCTTGATCATATGAGGCAAAGATGGCGCCACCATGCGGCTTCAGCAGGAATGGGTGGGGGGACCCCGATCAAATGACTGCACGATGGTCCCGCTGTCACTGGAGCAGTGTTTTTCCCTCCTCCATCCCTTAGTTTTCTGCAAGAGTGATGGCTATCACGTGTCCCAAATATGGCGGCGCCCGAATCGCTTCTACCCCTGGACCTGGACTTCCGGGGGTGGTCGGAAGTGAGCGCCGCCATCTTGTTTCTGTGGTTTTGGAGGAACAGTTGGCCTCCATCGGGAGCTGCGCTGTTTTGGTCCTCCTGGCCCTTCCGCCCTCCTCCGCGGTGAGTCCCAGGCCAACGGGGCGGAAAGGAGCCGGAGGGATCATGGTCCCGCCGCAGCTCGCGCGAGCCGAATGGGTGGGCTGGTTTGTGCTCAGTGCGCATGCGGGGATGGTATCATCGGGAAACACGGGGGGCGAGAGCGCTGAGATGGGCGGTACCATTGGGTGATGTTGGGGAGCACGGTGGACTGAGGAGAGGCAGAGGCCCTTGGCCCTGCGGGGACCAGGAGGGGCTTGGTCACAAGGCTAAGGGTTTCTTGCCTGTCCCTCAAAATCACAGCCCCCTGTTTCGAGCCACGCCCCCTTCCCTGCCCAGGGCACCAGGCTCCTCCGCTATAGCCCCGTTCCTGTCCCATTGGAGGTGTTGAGTTCAGTCTGAGATCCTGCCTGTCTTGTCCATTTCTCTAGCACCCATCGCAGTGCTGAGTTTTCCCCAGTGGAGGAGGTGCAGATTGTGAGTCTGGGCTGCAGGCTGCCAAAGCTAAGCAGCTACGGGTTTACTACGGGTTTCACTCTAGTTCCTAGCCCACATAGGCCATCCACTTCCATACGCAACTGTGAAAATAGCCGCAGGATTCCCAGTCCAGCTTTGTTCTGTCAACCCCTGGAGAGCTTGGTATTAGGGCTATCGAGCAATTAAAAACATTAATTGTGACTAATTGCACGATTAATCATGCTGTTAAACAATAGAATACCATTTATTTTAAATATTTTGGATGTTTACTTCATTTTCAAATATATTTCAATTACAACACAGAATACAAGGTGTACAGTGCTCACTTTATATTTGTATTACAAATATTTGCACTGTAAAAAACAAAAAAACATTGTATTTTTCAATTCACCTCATATAAGTATTGTAGTGCAATCTCTTTATCATGAAAGTTGAACTTATAAATATAGAATTATGTAAAAAACTACACTCTAAAACAAAACAGTGTAAAACTTTAGATCCCATAAGTCCAATCAGTCCTACTTCTTTTGTTCAGCCAATCACTCAGACAAACAAGGTTGGTTACAATTTGCAGGAGATAATGCTGCCTGCTTCTTATTTACAGTGTCACCTGAAAGTGAGACCAGGCATTCGCATGGCGCTGTTGTAGCTGGCGTTACAAAATATTTACGTGCCTGATGCGCTAAAGATTCATATGTCCCTTCATGCTTCAACCAACATTGCAGAGGACATGCTTCCATGCTGATGATGGGTTCTGCTTGATAACAATCCGAAGCAGTGCGGACTGATGCTTGTTCATTTTCATCATCTGAGTCAGATGCCACCAGCAGAAGGTTTATTTTTATTTTTTTGGTGGTTTGGTTCTGTAGTTTCCACATCAGTGTGTTGCCCTTTTAAGACTGCTAAAAGCATGCTCCACACCTCATCCCTCTCAGATTTTGGATGGCATTTCAGATTCTTAAACCTTGGGTCGAGTGCTGTAGCTATTTTTAGAAATCTCACTTCGATACCTTCTTTGCATTTTGTCAAATCTGCTGTACAAGTGTTCTTAATACGAACACATGCTGGGTCATCATCTGAGACTGCTATAACATGAAATATATGCAGAATGCAGGTAAAACAGAGCAAGAGACATACAATTCTCCCCCCAAGGAGTACAGTCACAAACTTAATTAATTCATTATTTTTTTAAAGAGCATGGAAGCATGTCCTCTGGAATGGTGTCTGAAGCATGGAAGGGGCATACCTTGCAATGCCGGCTACAAAAGTGCCATGCGAACGCCTGTTCTCGCTTTCAGGTGACATTGTAAATAAGAAGCAGGCAGCAGTATCTCCCGTCAGTGTAAACAAACTTGTTTGTCTTAGCGATTGGCAGAAAAAGAAGTAGGATTGAGTGGACTTGTAGGCTCTAAAGTTTTACACAGTTTTGTTTTAGAGAGCGGTTATGTAACCAAAAAAAATCTGCATTGGTAAATTACACTTTCACGATAAAGAGATTATAGACTCATAGACTCTAAGGTCAGAAGGGACCATTATGATCATCTAGTCTGATCTCACGCATGATGCGGGCCACAGAAGCTGACCCACCCATTCCTGGAAGAATTCTCTCCCTTGACTCAGCTGTTGAAGTCCCCAAATCATGATGTAAAGACTTCAAATCGCTGAGAATCCTCCAGCAAGCGACCCCTGCCCCATGCTGCTGAGGAAGGCGAAAAACCTCCAGGGCCTCTGCCAATCTACCCTGGAGGAAAATTCCTTCCCGATCCCAAATATGGCGATCAGCTGAACCCCGAGCATGCGGGCAAGATTCTCTAGCCAGACCCTCTGGAAAAAGTTCTCTGTAGTAACTTTTAATATCCCATCATTGACCATTGTTACTAATTACCAGCGATGGCACGTTATTGACCTATTGACTAAAATGACTTTATCCCATCAAACCATCCCCTCCATAAACTTATCAAGCTTAATCTTAAAGCCAGAGAGGTCTTTCGCCCCCACTGTTTCCCTCGGAAGGCTGTTCCAAAACTTCATCCCTCTGATGGTTAGAAACCTTCATCTAATTTCAAGCCTAAACTTCCCGACGGCCAGTTTATATCCATTTGTTCTCATGTCCACATTAGTACAAGATTGCACTTCAGTACTTGTATGAGGTAAATTGAAAAATACTATTTCTTTTATAATTTTTACAGTGCATATATTTGTAATCAAAAACACTATAAAGTGAGCACTGTGCACTTTGTATTCTGTGTTGTAATTGAAATCAATATTGAAAATGTAAAAAAATCCAAAAATATTTAATAAATTTAAATTGGTATTCTATTGGTATAAGTGTAATTAATCGCAATTAATTTTTTTTTAGTTAATCGCGCAAGTTAACTGCGATTGACAGCCCTACTTGGTATCACTATGATAGCTTGAACGTAAGGCGGAAGTAACTCTTCTCCCCTCTGTCTCTCAGTTGAGTTTGCGTGGGTGATTCCTGAGAGCATTGCAGGCTGGAAGTGCAACCTCCTGCCATGGTGAAGATCTTCGTGGGAGGAGTCTCCCCTTCTGTCACAGTGGATGAGCTGAAGAAGCTCTTCGAGCAGTATGGACAGGTGAACGAGTGCGACATCCTGAAGAACTTCGCCTTTGTGCACATGGAGAAGGAGGACGAGGCCCACAAGGCCATCAGCGAGCTGCACAAGCAGGAGTTCTACGGGGCCCACCTGACGGTAGAGTACGCCACCTCCAAGATCCGTAACGCCACCAAGATCTATGTGGGCAATGTCTCCAGCAAGGCCACCACAGCCCAGATCAAGGAGCTCTTTGAGAAGTTTGGCAAGGTGGTGGAGTGTGACATTGTCAAGAACTACGCCTTTGTCCACATGGCCAAGGAGAGGGAAGCCATGGACGCCATCTTGAACCTCAACGACATGCCTCTGGAGGACCAGAAGATCTTTGTAACACTGTCCAAGAGCAACAACTCGCTCAAGACAACCAAGGGGACCTCTGTGCCACCTCCACCACCTGCACTGCCCAGTTACTACTTCCCCAGGGGGCGCATCCCCCCGCCACCGCCTCCATACACCCCGTATGCACCCCGATCTTGGTATGACCGGGAATATTATGACCGCTATGCTTATGAGCTCTACGACCGGGCGATGACTGCCAGGACAGCATACGAGAGGGCCCTGCCACCTCCGCCCTCTACCCCCACCGCCTACAGAGAGAGGAGCCCTGTGGGCAGGCGGACGACTGCTGCGGTGGCCCAGTATACTGATCCCTATGCTGCCGCGGCTGCTGCCCAGACATACAGTCAAGTGTACAACCAAACGGGTTATGCAGCAGTGGCGGCTGCAGCCGCAGCCGCAGCTACCTACTCCCAGTACAGCATGGGTGCCACCTACAGTGCAGGGGAGTACTATGAGAAATACAGCAACGGCTATGCCACTCAGTATGCCCAGACGTACTAATCTTACTGTGCTCGTAGTAGTAAGTGACCAGAGATCTTAGCTTCGGTGGGAGGCGGAGGCATGGGGTGGAGAGTAACTAGCCCTAGAACTCCTTATTGGCACAGTTTTTTATGGGGTAAGGGAGTGCCACTCCTCCCTAAAGTAGCTCTCTGATGCCATCCACAGTGGATGGAGGTTACCATGCCTCCTGAAAGGCAGTAAATAGGCTCCTATGAACTAGACAACCTTTTATGTGTGTGTGTTTGTATATATATATACATAAAAATATATATAAAGATAGCCTAGATTTCCTTTGAAGGTCAAGTAGCGCTGGCGAGAAGTGAGTTTGCCTCCCTCCCTCCCCGTTAAGAAATTTAACCTGCTTTCTTTTTCCTTCAGTCGTCTCATGCTCCCACTTTCCAAGGTTTGTTAGGTTGCATCTTTTCTCTACCTTCCCCCCTCATCCCGTTTCCCTCCTGGTTTCCTTTCCTTACGTTCTGTTTTGGTTTGGTTCAGTCGCTAAGAAAATAATCCCAGTTTGGAAGATCAGTCGCCCGACGAACTGGCCCCCTGCAAGCCTGTACTGACAGCCAAGGCGATTCTGCTCGTAATTCAGAGCTGATCCTTTCTTGATTCCCCTCCCCTCTCATCAGTTTTAACCGTTGTAACTTGCAGTGCTCTTTTTTTCTTTTTTGCTGGCTAATTCCTTGGTGCGGTCTTCCCGTGCTGTGCATGCGGAGCGGCGTTTTGAAATGTGTGTCTCTAGAGCCGTAGCTAGGACCAGATGGGGGGGGAGGGGTGCCTTGTTCTGTTTCTGTACCTCAGTATTATAAAAGGAAGTGGATTTTTTGGTGCATCCAAAGTCCATCCGTGTCACGGCTTCTTTTTCCCTTTTTGTTTTTTACATTGATGATTAAACATCTTGTACAGAACTTCCCGGCGTCTCGTCGTCAAATCAGCTGCTGCGTCGCTTTAACTGTGCCCAAACCTCCGTGCGGCTCTTCTTTCTCTGCCTCTCTCCTCTGTGCCTAGCGAATGGCAAAACTGACACCCTGATTTCGCTTGACCGTATCGCGCTGCCTGTTCCGCCGCGGTTGCCTCAGTTAACGGAGCGACCCTCTTCCCTTCCCATCTCCCTGTGCCCTCCCCACGGCGAGCACCTTGTTAGCAACCCCACAGGCTGCCTGGGTTTCCCTCCTGCCTTCTGGCCACAGCATTCCTCTGCTCTAACTCAGCCAGGGCATCTGTAACTCTGACCTGTTGCAAGCCCCTTATCTGCTATTCCTGTTGTTGAGGCCAACTTCCCCCCTCCCTCCCCCACCCCCATACACATTTGTTTAGACCTCACTTGTCAGGTATCTAACATTTTAACCCTTTCTCCCCCCCCATTGATTTTTTTTCTCCATACACAGCCCGGTGCTCGGAGGCGTAAGGGGGAAAGGGATCTCGGCTGCAAAGGTGCAGGCAGAGCTGATTCAAGACAGCGCAATGCCTTTAACCACCACCCTGCTGAAGGAAGCGTGAAGCCTCCACTACAAGCTTGAGTGAATATACCACTCCCCTTGTCCCCGACCTGCGCTTCTTCCTCTTCTGGTGCTCTCGGGTTAGCTATTTGGCAGTCCAGAGGGCACCCTCTGGTGAGAGCGCAAGGCTAGCAGGACTCATGGGTTCTATTCCCAGCAACTCCCTTCCCCTCCCTGTGCCTCGGTTTCCCCACAGCAGAGATTGCTTTGAAATCTTTGGGTAAGCACTGTATGTGCAAAGAGATCTTGGTTTCTTGCTGGGGATGCTGCCTCCACCCATCTAAAGCGCTCCATCTCCCCCCCCTCCCCTCCCCTTTATGATGTCCTCTGGCTAGCTCATGTTCCTGCCCTTACTGGGTTTGAAGATCTAGGGACAGACCCACTCCTTAGCACATGCATGTCTCAGCCTGGGGATCGCTTTGGTCGTTCCAGATCCCCCTGCATGCATCCGCTTAGGGCTAGCACACCCTGCCTCCATTTGCTTTTTAGTAGCTGTCTTCAGTTGCCAGAGACGATGGCATAGGAATCCATTGCACTGCTGAATAGTCAGCTTGAGCTGCTTTCTCTCCTAGGAGCAGACTCGGGGCAGAACGTGGTCACCCGCTGGGGCCAGGAATTGCACCCCCATTGGTACAGCATTGGGTAATGCCTTCCCTCGATGTGGGATACAGAACTAGGTGGACCACTGGTGTGTGAGAGAAGTGATAGAGAGACCCTTTCATTCCCCCAGCAGCACGTCTGGGAGGTGAAGGGGGAGCATCAGAAAAAAACAGCCGACAGGGTAACCGTCTCCCTCTGGCATCTGTCCATGGCAGATTGAGGTAAGGCAGAAAGACCTCCCCGATGAGTGTTTGAGCCTGTGTTTGTTGGAGACGATGCTGCGAGCAGGGGAGTGGGGTACTGGGGGGAATGGTGTAGTGGTTAGAGCAGGGAGAGTCTACCCCTATGAGTTTGTAGACAGATCACTTCCCCTGCCTGCTTCAGTTTCCCCATGTGTGACTGAGGGAGCATTTCAGTGCCTGGAGAGCCTCTAATGGAAAGGGCTGTAGAAGCACCATTGCCATTCAGCCCGGGCTCAAAGGTCAGACTCCTTCCATCCCCTAACCATGGGAGTGCGGCGTCATGTGCCCCAAGAACAGAATTTGGAAGAGCCCAGCAGCTCAGGGGAAGCCGCTCTGAGCGTCCAATCAGAACGGTCTGGATCTGGCCATGGGAGAGCATTAGGGAGCAAGTCTTAGTTCCATAAGCATCCAAAGAGGGGGCGCGGTATCTGCTTTCAGCACAGTTCATGGACAGACATTTGTCAGCCTGACTTCTGAGCCATCCTGTTGGGACTATCAAGTCTGCTGACTCAACAGAGTCCTTGGAGCTGGCACCTCTGAGTTTAAATCTGTTCATTTTACGCTGAAGGCCACCTGTTACCCAAGCTCCTCCAGGCCAAGGGGAAACCAAAGAGCAGGATGCAAAGACCCTAGATCCTTTTAGAAACTCAGGCAGGAGGGGCTAGTGAATCTAACTCGCCCATCTATTCTAGATTGACCCTATCCCAAAGAGACCTTACATTAAGGTAACCCCCAGACCAGGAACTCTGTTGGCCTCAGCTGACATGTCAGGGGAAGAGCAGGATTTCTGGAGGACCCACCAAGCATCCTGCTAGCAGAGGTGAAAGATGACTTGAGGGATTCCCCGAAGATCTCCCAGTCTCTTCTCTCTAACTGTGAGCCTTAAACACCCAGGGGGAATCCAACCTGAGATGAAGCAGGAGGTAAGCGCTTTTGTCCCCCCTTCCCTTTCACTCGCACTCCAAGAGGAAGGAACAGTGGTGTGCTTCTGTCACAGACAGCACAAGATCTAGGTTCTGTTCCCTGGTTCTGGCACTGACCTCAGGGCAAGTCTGTGGATCTCATCTATAAAAGGGGCAAAGGTTGATTCATGTTTGGTTAAGATCTCCACTGGCTGGTGCTGAGTCAAGTAGTATTAGAAATCCCTGCCACAGAGAGGTTGTGTTCTGAAAGCACATGCCTCCTGCCTTACTGGGGTAATCTAGTTTAGGTCTTTATATGGTTCCCATAGTGATTTGATCACTGTCTGCAGCTGGGGTGGAGATTTGAGAGTAGAGCAGTCTTTAATCTCACAGACAAAGGCAGAACAAGAGCCAATCGGTGGACGTTGAAGCAAGCCAAATTCAGACTGGAAATAAGGCAAATTTTTAACCCCAAGAGGAATTAGCCAGTGGACCTAGGGACATTGTGGATTCTCCATCGCTTGGAGTCTTTAAGTCAAGACTGGCTGTCTTTCCTAAACCTGCGCTGTAGCTCACACAAATTACAGGCGTGATGCAGGAAAAGGGATTCTCTGACCTGTAGTATGCAGGAGGTGAGCATAGATGATCAGAATGGGCCCTTTTGGTCTTAAAAGCAGTGAATCATTTCCGCAGTATGTGAGTGCCTCGGTTTTGAATAGATTTAACTTCCCAATACCTCTGTGAGGCAGGGCAGCACTGTTCTCCCCATTTTACAGATGGGGAAACTGAGGCACAAAGCAACTAAGTGACTTGGCCAAGTTCACACAGGCAGACTGGCAGAGCAGGGACTCAAACCCAGGTCTCCTGACTCCTGGTCCAGCACTTGAGCCTTAAGATCATTCTTCATCTTCTAAGTTATGTAACATTAGGGTTGCCTGCCTGAAGAAATACAGGCCCTTGGCTCTGGTTAGGTGGCCCTACTAGTGCCAGGAGCCCAGGCTGAATACAGGGTGAATGTGCTCTAAGGTGAACATACAGATCTAGGGCAGCCGACAGTTCCCAGCTTCAATTCCTTGGCGCTACTGCATCAAAATGTGTGCGCTCTCCTCTTCCTCATCAACCCGAACAGGAAGGGGCAGACTGAGGTAAACCCAGCCCTTTGGCACAACAGCCCACCCACAAAGTGAGCCGTGTGTGGAGTGGCCTGGTTGCGACGAGGACTGAAAGGAAGCCTGGAGCTGGGGAGCCTCCAGCTGAAATTCTCTTCTCTTCTTACTCTCTCCTAGAGCAGAGCGGATTGGGCCTTCTCTCTGTCTCTCTCTCTCTCCCTCCCAGCCCAACTCCACCATCCCTTGTTCTGCGAAAGCAGCGAGCTCCGTCCCCGCCACAGTGCTCTGGATGCTGTCGGAAGGCTCCCTGCTCGGTGAGATTCTCCACACCTCCTGGCTGCTGGGTAACGGGCGACAGGGAAGCAAACGGCCTTGGCCCCGCTCTGCCCTCTGGCTGGGGAGAGCTGCATGGAGCTAGGAGCTGGGAGAGGTCTTTCCCTGCGATCATGATTGGTGCTTGGGGTGGGATTGATCTTTCAAGGTGTTGAGAACTCATCCCCTGGTGGGCGGGATGCCGGCTTGTAGGGCTGGCTTGGTTTGCATCATGGGCAGCTTTCTCCATCTAGGGGTGTTGGGACAGGAGGGAATTCTCTGGTGTAAAGACCCAGGTTGTCCCCATTTCCTCCTGGGTGATATGATTCGTCCTGCAGCCTTTGGTTTGGGTGTGACTGGTGAGGGCAGCTTTGCATCTTCGCTCTGTACCAAGGCAATGCAGATTTGGCTGGGCCTCTTCTCTGCCTCAGAAAGATCTCTGAACCGCTGCTTCTGGGTGGGAGTCACCTTGCTTCCTTGTCTAACCCGGGGCCTTGACCGACACCACACCTTCCACAGCTTCCCTCCTTGATCCCTGCCCCCTGACGTGGGGGGTCCCGCAACAGAGATGGGGCCAGCAGAGCTCGTATGTGGGATGAGAACGGAGGCATCTGTACCACCGGGTACCTCCAGCAATAGTCTCGACTCCCTGTTAATTGCAATTGGCTCCAGCAGAGAAGGATGGAGTGCGGGGACTGCAGGCTCCTCTGCATTGGATGAGCATGGTGAAGCTGCTCCTGAGGTTGGTAGGTGTGTGTGTGAGGCCAAGGGCAGGGGTAGAAGCCTAGGGCTCGGTGCTTTGTGGGTTGGAACAGTGGAATACATTACTTTCCTAGGGGGCTCTGAGCAGCAGTAACTATAAGCCGCTCTCATTCAGAGATCTGGGTTAAACTTGACCACAGGAGCTACATGAGATGGGTTGTGTTTGTTTTGCGGCTCCCCAGTGGACTAAACCACCCCACAAGCGGGCTAGATTGGCAGTGTCAGCTCAGGAGAAGCCCAGGAATGAACTAGTGGAGGTGGAGGGTGTTGCTAGAGGACATAATTGGGGGCCATTGGCTGCTGTGTGTGAGAGGAGTCTGGGGGTGGCGTAGCAGGGGTGGGTATTGAGGAGGATCAGCAGAGTTGGAAGAGGAAGCCAGGGGACTGTGGGTCAGGATTGAGAGGGACCTTGACAGAACTGTGTAGTGGGGGAGTTGGGTTGGGATAGCTGGACAGCTGTGGGTTGGGATTAAGGAACATTGGCAGAGCTGGGGGGTGGGGGTGGAGGGTGTGAAGCAGAGCCCAGCCTGGGATAGTATGAGGGCTGCGGGCCAGGATTGAGGGGAATCAGCAGAGCTGTGTGTGGACCCAGAACTGGATTGCCTGCTAATTCTGTGCAGCTGGTGCTAAGTTGCCGTGACATTTTGCATTGGAACTCTTGTCAGCACTAGGGGCAGCCCCCTCTGCAGAACCCTAGCATCTCTGAGAGCAGTTGGCTTCTGCTGTATCAGTGACCATTGGTTACCTGGCTCCAGCCCTTATCCGAGGTCCAAACTGCGCTTGAGTGAAATGTGCTGCCCTGGCATAGGGCTCTGGGATTGATGGGTGGCACCTAGTACAGCATCACAAGGGTAGGGGCTGTAGAGGCAAGGTTTGGGACTAATAAACATCCTTGTTTAAGCAGCATTTGGGCTGGCGGCTGATTATTTTGTGTCTGCCTCGGTCTGTGGTTCCCTTCCTGTCACTGAAGAGGGCCTACTGGCTTTGCTAATGGGCTCCTCTTTGAGCAGTCACAGACCCTGAAATCTTCCTCCCAGCTGATTCATGCTGCGGGAGGTGCCATCCCTCACCTCCCTCTCTTCTCTGTCCACAGAGCTGCTTCTGTGGTGTGACAATGGCCCAGTGGTGAGGGTGCTTGGGAGACCTGGGTTTAATTCCCAGCTCTACCACAGACTTCTGGCGTGACCTTGGGCAGGCCACTCAGTCTCGGTTTTCACCTTCTGTACAATGGGGATAATAGCTCGGCACTGCCTCATGATGGGGAGGGAGAAAAAGAGTTGAGGCTTCAAGGCGCCCAGATGATGGCAATCCTTGTCTCTTACCAGCAGATCTCAGAGCACTTTACAAATCAGGTCAGAATCGTGACCCCCATTCAGGGGGACTCTGAAACACAGAGGGGAAATGTGACTTGCCCAAGGTCACCCAGCAGGTCAGTGGCAGAGCCTCACTCTCCTGAGTCTTAGTCCAGTGCATGATCCCCTAGGCCACACAGGCTCTCTTAATGAGGACCAGATAAGTACCTTAGATGGTCAGAAGTACAGAACAGCTGGTGTTACAGGGCCACCTACCCCGGAGCAAGGAGAAGGGGAATCCTATGTAATGGGAAAGGCTACTTCTATAGCTAGACTGCCTCTGCCTTCCACTTCTTCCAGTAGCCTTTGCTTCCTTCCCCTGGAAACATGGAGCACATCCCAGGCTATGGGCATGGTCGTAGGATGGGGATCTTCCTCTAATTACCTTCCCTACTCCTCATTTTGTCTTCAGTGGACCTCCAGCTCCTTAATAGAGCCCGGCAGCAGGACACCTTCCCAGCACTGAGCTGAGACGTATGTACTGTTTAGGGGAGAAGACAGGATAGCCCTGGTGGAATAAAACCAGTCCGGGGAAGAGGTGTTCTCACATCAAACTGCTACAGCCAGATTCTCACACCATGGCTCCTTTGCCCCCATCTAGTAATGGAACCATGTAGTGGGTGTAAATTACACCGCTAAAGCAGGGTAAAAAGGGGCCTTAGGCCCAGATCCTCAAAGGTATTTCAGCTCCTAACTTGCATTGAAAGTAAGGGAAGGAAGCTAAATACCTGGGAGGATTGGGCCTTGGACAGGGTCTAGCCTGAAACTCTGAGTACACCTCAGACTCTCAGAGTGGGGAGATCTGACTTAGGGGTGGCATATCTGTGACCTGTTGCTTTGCAAAGAGTTGTAACTCTTCAGTGCTTGTTTGCGTGTGTCTGTGGCTAAGAACTCCCTTTGCTAAATCGGTGTTCCTTTCATGTTGCCCTTTAAACTAGAAGCCAGAGGCCCCTGCAGCCAGGTGGAGTGGGGGGGGGGTGTAAGCAGCTGGGTGGTTTGGGATAGCTGCGGCACTGTTTTGGGGGCCTAGGGTGGCCGGGGTGCAGTGCCCCACAACCTACCAAAGGGCTCAGACAAGAGGTCTGCACCTGGGCGACCACCCTACAGACCCAGATACAGGGACTAGAACCCAGGGAGGTTAGAAGCTTGTGGGACCCAGGATTGGGTCGGCTTCCAATAAACTGGAGAAAAGAGGACTGGGCTTGGTCTAGTTAAAGCAGTACAACACCTCACCCCTCCGGCTGGACATCGTGATCGGGATATGAAGGTGCTGAGCTATTCCCCTACAGGAAGGGGAATAAGCTATTGCAGTCTAAGTCACCTTTCTACCACTATAACTGCCCACAGTAGGGCTTGTCGTATATCTGTCCATTAACCTCCCCCAGCTGACAGTTGTACTGGAACCAACTCTGAAGCCAACAAAGAAAAGGCTCTGCCGAGCTGACTAAAGAGAAAAAGCTTCTCCCAAATGATTAATAGTGATTAATAAAGTCAGTGCCCTCCTAGGTACTATTTCCTAGAACATTGTTTAATCTACTTGCCAGTAGCCTTGCTCCCCTTAGGAAAGTGAAAGTGTTCTTTTTTTTTTTTTTTTAACTTTCCATTGACTGGCATTCCGTCTCTCAATCCTATATCCGTGCCAGCGATGCTGAGAACCTCCAGCTCCTGTACTTCATACAAGTGGGGGGCTGCTCTGCACTTGTGAAAAACAGGTCACTTCCCCTCTCTGGCTACTCGCTCCTGTGGAGGGTTGAAGGGCTGGTTGGTCTCTAACTCCTGAGAGTTGGACCCCATGTAGGTACGGGGGAGGACGTTTGCTCTTTTGCTGAGGTAGAGGGGACTTCACTCTTCAGAGCTCGTACTCCACTATCACGTGCCAGTATGAAATTCCGTCCCAGAATGGAGAGGGCACCAATTTTCACACTGATCAAATAGCTCAATTAGTTTCTCCAGCCTGACTCCTGTGGATGAGGGAGGCTCGGAGGTGGCAGCCATAACCACTGAAGTGAAGAACGGCTGCAAATTTCCCTGCTACACGTCATTTGTGATGCTGCTGTGTTTCTCTATGCTCACCACCTTGAATAGCTGCCTGGTTGTGCTGCAGCACCTCCTTCCAGCCCTGGGATGCAGAGGCATTTGTACTCATTGCATAGCACCAGCTAGGTGCTCTGCGGCTGTTGCAGCACCCTCTCCTTTCAGTACAGGTAGACAGTGAGATGTGTAAACATAGTACATCATCCACTAGCTATGCAAGAAAGGGGTGCTTTGCAGAATAAGCACACCCACAAGGGTCCTTGCCCCCAATCTAATGCACATAGAAGCTCTGAGCTGTTGAGGAAGGGTGATCCCCAGTGTCTTGGGAGGAGTTAATAGCAGTGAAAGCAGAGGTGCCATTACCCTCTCAAGGGATCTGGTGCTCTGGCCTTGATAAGGATGGCCTATTTGCTCTTAGCGCTATCCCTAGCAGCAGAAGAAGATTCAGAGACCTGTGATGACACAAACTAGGCTCAGACATGGACACCAGTGCAACTTCCCTTCTGCACTGGGATTCGTGCCACCAGCAGGGATGGCAGGAGTCTAGCTGGTGGGGTCAGGGCCAGTAGTAGCCAGCTTGGCTGTTGGAATGCACTGCTGCTGGGCTAATCCCCCTACCCCATCTAGGGTGGGGCCAGTGACTCTTTGCCCCCACGGTGGCTAATTTTCCCCTGGCTTGTGGGGGCAGCTTGCTTTCCCTTGGGCTTGGCTGGTCACCTGGCTTAGATGGGGTCCCACCCAGCTGTCCCATTTCGGGTTTGGCTAGTCTTCTCCATCTGACTTGTAAATTAATCTCTTTGAGGGGCTGTAATACCAGTCTCCATCCCCAGGTGACGCTGTGGGTTCCTTTTAAGGATTCTTCTAGCCGACGGCGTTCCCCCTCTGTGATTCCTGGGTGTGGGATCTGTAATTTCACCCCTGTCGCCTAGGTGGCGATGTGGGAAAATCTAGCGCTGTGAGGGATTTCTCCTGGCGGTAGGATCCGTCCTCTTTGGTTTTCGGTAAGGGGGTGGACCTTGTAGTGAGTGCACCCAATGGAGATCAACGCTCTGATGATTGGCGGCGACGGGACCCAATGGGCGCTGGTCCGTGGGAAGCTGGTATCGGGCGGGGCTGAAGAGGCGGCTGGACTGCTGGTGATGGGGCTGTTGACTATTCTGAAGAAGATGCGACAGAAGGAGCGGGAGCTGCGGCTTCTTATGCTGTATCCTTTTGCAGGGGGAGAGGATGGGCGGTACCAAGTATCGCGTGATAAAGGGGCTTCTATCTTTTATATGCGGGAGCTGACGGCAGTACCAAGGATTTGGGGGGGGAGGGATGTATCCTGTGTGTCTGGGGTTTGGGCTGTACCAACAGTTCTGGGGTGTATCCTGTGGGTCTGGGCTGTACCGGGGTGCTGGGGGGAGGGGTGTATCCTGTGGGTCTGAGCTGGACCAACAGTTCTGGGGGGTATCCTGTGGGTCTGGGCTGTACCGGGGTGCTGGGGGGAGGTGTATCCTGTGGGTCTCAGCTGTACCAACAGTTCTGGGGGAGGGGGTGTATCCTGTGGGTTTGGGCTGTACCAGGGGGTTTGGGGGAAGGGATGTATCTTGTGGGTATGAGATCTGGGCTCTACCAAGTGTCCTGGAGGAGTGCTATATTATGGGGGTGAGGGGGACCAACTGTCCTGGGGGGCTGTATCCAGTGAATAGAGGGGTAAATAGGGTTGCACCAAGCGCTGTGAGTGGCTGATGGAAGAGGAAGGGGCTGCGCTGGTCCCAACTGGGAGTTTCCTTTTTATGGGCTGATCCACCATCCAGCTGTGACACCAACATCTCCCCCCCACCACACACACTCTCTCTCTCATGTGGCTTTCCATGTTCTGAGCTGCCATCTCCTTGACCTGCCTCCCACAGTGGCCTAGACAATGCTGGCAAAACCACCATCCTGAAGAAGTTCAACGGGGAGGATATCGACACCATCTCGCCCACACTGGGCTTCAACATCAAAACCCTGGAGCACCGGGGGTGAGCGCCCAGCGGAGTGTCTGATCTATCCACAGGCCCCAAAACCTGCCCAGCCCATACATCCCCTGGAGAGGATTGTCCCTCCAAAGTCTGATTTCCCCCCCCCCCCCGCGCCCCAGGGCAGGATTATCCACCCCTCCCCACACTGCAAATCCTCAGCCTCTGCTCAGCCCTGGTTTCAAACCCCCTTAGCCATAGGTGGTAGCTCTGTGGGAAAGGATCTTGGGGTTTCAGTGGCTCACAAATTGAATATCATGGTCTAGGTTTGCTTGGTCCTGCCACAGTTCAGTGGAATGGACTTGATGACTTCTCAAGGTCTTTTCCAGCCCTATATTTCTGTGATTCTATAGTGTGCCCTTGGAGAGCTGATTCCCCTGCCTAATAGATCTCAGTAACCCTGATTCTTTACTCCAAGTTCTGTACAGATCCCTCACCTCATTCCCCTAACAGTTCCTGCTCCCCCTTGAGCTTAACCCCCTTCAGATCATGGGGGTGGTTCTTCCGCCCTCCCAGGTGTCACTTAGCCAAAGCAAGATGAGGCTTTATTGACAGATCCCCTGCCCCCCACCCTCAGCTCAGCGCCTTGCTCACTTTCTGTCACTCTTAAGGGATTTGGAGCCAAGAAGGTTTGGTCTCCCCAGAGCCAGATGCAGTGGGATCATCCCCTCCTTGCTCCAGGATGCCTGTTTCCCAGTGCATGCTGGGATCTTGCCTGACTGCCCCTTTACCTCCACACTCTGTGTCTTTTTCTACTGCTCAGGTTCAAGCTGAACATTTGGGACGTGGGCGGACAGACATCCCTGCGCTCCTACTGGCGCAACTACTTTGAGAGCACGGATGGTCTCATCTGGGTGGTGGACAGCGCTGACCAACAGCGCCTGCAGGTCTGCAAACAGGAGTTGCAGAGCCTCCTGGTGGAAGAGGTGTGAACTTCATCTATCTGGGGGGCAGGGAGGGTCTATATCGGGGGTGGGGGGGGAGCTGTACCAATTCTTTTGGAGGGTGGGGGGGCTGTGTATCCTGTATTCTGCCAGGAAAAGTGATATGTATGGGATGGGTTGTATCAAATGTCTTGGGAGAGGCAGTGTATCTTTTGGGCATGGGGGAGTGGGCTGTATACTGTGAGTAGGTGGGACAACTTCTGGCTGAACTAGGCTGGAGGTAGCTGGAATTTGGGTTGGGATCCCTGAGGGGCCTAGTTTGGTGTTGACCTGCTGGAGGCAGCACCTGCCTCTGCTGCAGAGAGGACCCCAACCCCCTTGCTGCCAGGTCCCCCAGGACTGAGAAACAGACCCCTGTCTGGGACAGAGGAGGAGGAGGAGGTAGGCCTGGCTGGGTGGGAGGGTGCTTGAAGGGCTAATGGGCATGGGGGACCAAGACAACAGGGTCATGCAACTCACCTTGTGCTTCATTCCCCACAGCGCCTGGCCGGAGCTACCCTGCTCATCTTCGCCAATAAACAGGACCTGCCGGGAGCGCTGTCCTCCAATGCCATCCGGGAGGTGAGAGCCACTGGCCTGAAGCAAACCAGGGATATTGACTGAGGGGAGTGGGGTCTGTTGGTTGGAGGACGGGGGGCAGGGACTGGGAGTCAGCTCTTCTGTTCCCAGCTCTGGAAGGGGATGGGAGTAGAAGATTTACACCAGATGAATGGCAGCCAGGACTCCTGACTTGTCTCCAGTTTATCACTGACTCACTGTATGATCTTTCCCCTCTCTGTACCTCAGTTTTACCAGGTTGAGAGTAAGGGGCTAATCCTTCCCTCCCCAGGGCAGGGACAGGAGGGTGTGCTAGTGCTGGGAGATGTGGGCTGAGGACAGGTTTGGTCTTAGCACACTCAGGTAACTCAGCATCGTCTTCCCTTCCCTTCAGGCCTTGGAACTAGACAGCATCAAAAGCCACCATTGGTGCATCCAGGCCTGTAGTGCCTTCACTGGGGAGAACCTGCTGACAGGGATCGACTGGCTCCTGGATGATATTTCCAGCCGGATCTTCACCGCGGACTGACCATGCCCCAGACGTGGCCCCCTCCTTTGTGGGGGGCTGCAGGAGTGGGGCTGCATCCAAGCTTTGAACAGAGTTCCCAGGACCATGTGGCTGTTGTTTCCATGGACCCTCCCATCATGCTTTCCTCCAACAGTCAGTTACCGGGACAGCAACTCCCCTTGGATTCAGCCTAGATCCCAGCTGCCCCCTGGAATGACGCATGGCTTAGTGCCCCTGGCCCAGGTCTCGTGCATGCGTTTCAAGGTTTGAGCCTCTAATGCTGGCAATCAATTGGACCCAAATGATGGGGGAAGCTGGGGAAGCAGAGGGACCAGGTCATTTATAGTCACGGGGGTGGGGCTGAGGCCCCATCACTGGAGCATAAGGCCTGTTGAACTGTGTGTATGAGTGGAACTGGTAGAGAGGAATGCGCCCCCCCCCCCCAAAAAAAAACCCCGCCAATCAAACAACCCCACCTCTGTATCAAACATTCACTCACATTTTTCATCTCCTGTGCTAATAAAATCAGTGGCCTATGTCCCTGGCTGTGCCTGGATTCCTTGACCCTGCGTGGATTTGCCTTGTGGTTTTGGCTTATTGTGCCAGCTTCCCCTGAGAGATGGACTACCCCTAGGGTGGCTCTAGATGCCCAGTTACAGTATCTGTTTCTCACATGGGCTTAGTGATGCCCGTATATTTTTTTTCCTGTCTCAGCTGAGTTGCAGATGGGGGCAGGGACACTCAAGAGGCTGGGAAGGGTGGTGTTCTGCAAGGATCTCCCTCACCCTCCCACTCTATCCTGAACCTGCTGTGGTTTTAAGCAGAGAGAGATTCACTTCCTGTTCTTAACTGTTACTATGAGCTATTAAACAGCCCCCTCTGTCCCAGTCAGTGGTGGCTGCATCTCAGAGCCAAGCAAGGGATCATTGAGTAAAAAGTCCCTGCTCCCCACCTCAGAGGGGGCTACATCTCAACACTGGGTGAGGGATCCCTGTAGAAACAGCTCTTGTGCCCAACCCCAGAGGCAGATGCATTTTAGTGATTGAGAAAGTTAATCTCTGTCAAATACAGTTTAATAATTCACCTCTCCAGTGCATTTAATCTCAATTTGCTCTGCAAACTCTCCATTCACCCTCATTGTGCTGCAGCAACCTCTGGGATGGAGAAGGGATAGCAGAGCCATGAGAGGTGCTGTTTTGGCCAAGATCCCTGAGGCAGTGGGAACCCCTGGGCTGCTGCAGACATGCCCTCTGGTCAGCTGTGTCCATACAGTGATGGCAAGACCTCGACTTTAAGGAGGTACCTCAAAGATGCCCCCCAACGTTGAACTGCGAGGGCTGGAGCAGCCTGGCTGGGGTTGGAATGGGACATGGGGATTGAGGTTCCAGGAGCATCAGAATTTCAAACCTTATTCCTAGCTCTTTGCCCTGCTTGTAAAAGCCCATCAGCATTAGAAGGGTGACACCATTTTTCTCTCCATTCTCTATTTACCTCCCTTATCAAATAGCCTCCCCTGGCCCTGCCCCTTTACCTTCCACCTTCTATCGGATAACATTGGACCCTTTATACCTTACCCTGTAACCCAGTGGCTCTCAACCTTTCCAGACAACTTTGCCCCTTTTAGGAGTCTGATTTGTCTTGTGTATCCCAAGTTTCACTTCACTTAACTACTTGCCTACAAAATCAGACAAAAGTACAAGTGTCCCAGCACAGTTACTGAGAAATTGATCACTCTCATTTGTACCATATAATTCCAAAATAAATCAATTGGAATATAAATATTGTCGTTACATTTCAGTGTATACTATATAGAGCAGTATAAACAAGTCATTGTATGAAATTTTGGTTTGTGCTGACTTTGCTAGTGCTTTTTGTGTAGCCTGTTGTAAAACTAGGCAAATAACTAGATGAGTTGATGTACCTGGTGGAAGACCTCGGCATACTCCCAGGGCTATTCATACCCCTGGTTAAGAACCACTGCTGTAACCTGCTTCCTTTACCCCAGCTCTGTCCCAATTACCCCTTTGCCCCTGCCAGTTTTCCCCTCTGTACTCCTTTCCCCATTCCAAGCTCAACTCCCCGCTTACCCTGCCTCAAACATGTGGGCACATTCCAGAGGAGCCCTTGACTCTTCAGCTCGCCTGCAGCCTTGCACTTGACACACGCTCCCTGGGCTGGGGCGGGGAAAGGAGGTCCGGCCCGTGTGCGTAGTAAATGTATGGGTGGGGAGGCGGCTACATTGCTTGCGCATGCGTAGTGGCTGTTCGACAAATCCACGCTCCCAGGCGGCAGTCGCTGCTGCTGGGGGGCTGGCTGCTGATGTGGGGGAGGGCGGGCTCAGGATTTAAAGGGGCCGCAGCCCCAATGGGAGGAGGGTGATGGCCTGCAGGGTGAAGGATGAGTACCAGCGGCATTACACGGTCACAGAGCCGAGGAGCCACCCCAAGGGCCACACCGAGTATAAAGTGACAGCCAAGGTGAGGGACAGCTCCTGGGACCCTCCCCAGGGTGCTGCGCGTGGCTTCTTTAAGGCGAAGGGCCCTTCCTGCTGGACAGCAGGGGCTGCTGATACCCCCATGAGAGGGGGGGCACCTCGCTTGGCCTCCTTAAGGAGGGAGCACCACGGGGCGAGACTTGGCCCTGGTACTTTTCAGGGGGAAGGACACTGTACGTAGCCGCTTTAAGAGGTAGGGAGCTGCGTGTGGACCCCGGTGGGTCTCCGTTTTGGGGTGTCGTGGGTGTGGCCCCTTTAAGATGGAAGCTTCCTGCAGGGAGAGCCTTGTGTTTGTGGGTCCCGTGAGACCCGCACGTGGGACGTGGCTAGCACCTGCCACAACTCTCCACGCCCCAGGCAGGGGTGGCAGGTTTGTATAATTTTTGGTGGTGCCCAGAACAGGTCTAAGTCTTCCTGCCCCACCTAGTAAGCCAATATTTTTTTTAAATGTAAAAAATGTGAGGGCTCTGGGGGTGGGGGCTCAGGGCTAGGGCAGAGGGTTGGGGTGTGGGGTGAGGGCTGTGGATGAGGGGTTCATGATGCAGGAGGGGGCTCAGGGCTGGGGCAGAGGGTTGGGGTGTGGGGTGAGGGCTGTGGATGAGGGGTTCATGATGCAGGAGGGGGCTCAGGGCTGGGGCAGAAGGTTGGGGTGCAGGGGGGAGAGGACTCTGGCTGGGGGTGCAGGCTCTGGGGTGGGGCAGGGTTGGGGATGAGTTTGGGGTGTGGGCTGCCCCAGGGCTGGGGCCAGAGAGGAGGACTCCCCCCAGCACTCTCCCCACCTGCAGCAGTGAGCTCTGGGGGAGGGGGCCCCCCTCTGCTTCCCCAGCAGCACACTCACCTCACACTACTGTCACTGAACGTGCTCCTAGGGCCTCTCTCAGGTCCAGGAAGCCCCCTTGCCTCCCCTGTAGTGGGTGCTGGGGGGGCTGCCATCACATGTGTGCCTCCTCCCCTGCTGCTGCCCCTCGCTAGGGGTGGAGCTGCCCCTTGCCCAGTGTGGGGCAGGAGCGGTGACTGTGGGCGGAGGGCCTGTGCTGGTGGAGGGTCCCGCTGGAAAAGGGAAGGGTCTGAGGCAGAAGGGCAGGGTCAGCCTGCCCTGGCACTATTGGATGGGGGGCGTTAGGACTCTGCGGCCACAGTTGATGCCGGGAGCCAGCAGAGCAGAGGCAGCGGGGAGCTGCAGGAGAGAGACCCAGCCCCAAACATTGCTGGAGCCTGGGCACCACGGGCCCATATAACTTGCCGCCCCTGGTCCCCTGCCATAAGCCCTAGGCACTGCAGATATCGTAGGTCAAAGACATGTCCCACATTGCCCATGCCCCAGGGATGTCCCAGGTTAAAGGTACCTCCCATGCCCTGGGGATGTCCCAGGGGGGTGACCCCTGACACACCACACCCCGTGGCTGTCACATTTCCCACATCCTAGGCTGATGCGCCCCTAGGCTGCTGGTCCCTTCATTAGCCCTGAACCTCCCCATCTCCACCTCCCGGCTCGGAAGTTACTGACTCCTTGTCTCTTCCCTCCATAGTTTGTTTCGAAGACGAACCCAGAGGATGTCAAGCAGGTGACTCTTTTAAACCCATCTGCTCGTGCAGGGGAGGGGTGCGAAGAAAGGGTGGGAAGGAATCCATATCCATCCGTCCGTATTCTCAGAGAGAGAGCAAAGAATTTGGGGCGGGGGGGAGTGTCTCCACTCCAGGCTTGCCCACATGCACGGCTGCTCAGCAATGATGGGCAAAGTCCCAAAATTTGAGGTCTGGTGGAGCTGAGTTTTGGGGACGGTTTTGTCTTGGGGCTTTGAGTCCTATGGCAAAGGTTGCGGGTTAGGGGCAGAGTGACCAAGGTCTGGGGGTAAAAAGCAGGGGGACAGAAATCCAGGAGTTTGACATCAAAGTTCAGCCTGGAAGGAGTTGGGCCCATAGATTTGTATTTGAGGGTTTGAGTTGAAGGGTTGCAGTTTTGGGAATAAGGGAAGGGTCCCTGGGACTGTGGGAGCTGCGGAGTTAGTGCACATCTGTGGCTAGTTAACTGGGGCACCTGGGGGGCTTGTGTCCTTCAGATCACGGTCTGGAAACGGTACAGTGACTTCAAGAAGCTGCATGGGGACCTGTCCTACATCCACCGCAACCTCTTCCGGCGCATGGAGGAGTTCCCCACCTTCCCCAAAGCCCAGGTCTTTGGTAAGGGGTTGGGTGGGGGAAGGGGAAACAGCCCCTGGAGCCTGATTCATCTGGGTTGCCCCCAGAGCAGTGGCAGAGAGAACTCCCCCCACACATACAGACGCACTCCGCTCCCCCCATCCCTCCACCTTTCCCCCCGCACAGCTCCCTCTCCCATGCCCAGCTCCCCCCATCCCCACAGCACAACCCCCTAATCCTCCCACACAGCTTCTTCCTTCCCACAGTGCTCCACAACAGGGGCACACAGTGGACCATACCATGTGAAGTGAATTGAGGTGGGATGCCCACCAGACAGTGGCAGGGGTGGGTGGGCTAGAATGTACCACAGGGCTTAGAGGTGAAGTGGATGGTCTGTCTAGGGAGGGGGTTGTGCTGGAGGATCTATCCTAATAGCTCTGTCTTGCAGGCCGCTTTGAGCCCGAAGTGATCGAGGAGCGCAGGAAAGCGGCTGAGGCCATGCTGAAGTTCACGGTGCATATTCCTGCGCTGAACAACAGCCCCCAGCTCAAGGAGTTTTTCAGGGTACGTGGGGTAGGGCTGGGCTGAGGGACCCCGGGGTGGTCAGTCCATTGCTGATGCATCAGGCTGCTCACACACATGGCAGTACCAACGGCCCACGCAGTTGCTCTACACCTCCCTTGAAAAGCTTGGGCTGAGGAGAGTCTCCCCCTCCCAGTGTACAGCAGAGACTCCTCTGAAAGATGATAGTCAGGACTGATTGGGTCTAGTGGGTTAGAACAGTGGGAGCCGGGAGTCAGGATTCCCAGGTTCTATTCCCAGCTCTGGGAGGGATGTGGGGTCTAGTGGGTTATGGGGGGAGCTGGTATCTGGACGCCTGGGTTCCCTTCCCAGTTCTGCCACTGACCTGCTATGTGGTTCTGGGCAGGTCACTTCCCCCATTTGTGCCCATCTTCCCCACTGTGCATGTCAAAACATGTCTGCTGCCAGTGGAGAAGCGCGAGGCTAATACCCCATCCCTGCCCCCATGGCCACACTAGCACCCCAGTCCCCAGCTCCTCCTTTACCATGCTGCTTCCTTCCTCCAGGGAGGGGAGGTAAAGAGGCCCCTGGAGGCCTGTGACCTACGCATCCTGCCGCCCCCTCTGATCCCAGTACCACAGGAGGGCACAGATGCCGGGGACGATGCTCAGGGATCTGTGGCAGAGCTGGGACTGCAGAGCCTGGAGCCTGAGCGGGAGCTGGAGCCGCACCCACACCGAAGGGAGCAGGCGGAACCGCAGAGCCCAGTGCCCCTGGGAGCTGTGGGGGTAGCGGGGGAGGAGCATAACGGGGGAGAGGAGACAGGTACAAGATTCCTGCTATTGATTTTGTGGGTTACAGCAGGGCGACCGGGAGTCAAGATTCCTGGGTTCTATCCCCAGCTCTGGGAGGGCAGTGGGATCAGGTGGTTTAGAGCAGGGGGGCTGGGAGTCAGGACTCCTGGGTTCTATCCCCAGCTCTGGGAGGGGGGAGTCTGACTGAGTGACAAGAGCTGGGTTTTCTGGGTTCAGTTCCATGCCCTGCCACAGACTCCCAGTGTGACCTTGGACAAATTGCTTCCCCTGTCTGTGCTGCTCTTCCTCAGTCTACAAAATGGGGATAATTGCACTGACCAGCCTCTTAGCAGGGCTGTGAAGCGTTAATTAAATTGCTATGGGCAAAGCCTTTGACTTCCTCAGAGGAAAGGCACAAAAGAGAGGCAAAAATATTATTGCGCCGTTAAATGTTATGGTGTTGATCTGTGACGTTCAGGAACCTTTTCCCCATTTTTATAATTTAAACCTGACCCTGGCTACCCAAACAGACCAACCTTGTGCTTACGGCAGGGGGAGCAGGAAGGAAAATTTGCCAGCTGAGTTTCAGAGCAGAGATTTGAGCAACTCTTATTTATATTGTGGGAGCATGAAGGGACCCCATTATGGGGTGCACCTTAGCTGGAGTATTAAGGTTGTACCTGGAGGACCCCTCTGTATTAGAGCCTCACTATGGTGTCCACATTATCACCAGTATTGCGGTGGCACCTACAGGCCTCAGCTGAGCTCAGGGCTCATTGTGTTACATGGTCTCCGTCCAGAAAAGCTCGCACTCTAAATAGACAAAGGGT